CCCACCCCCACACACAAAAACAAAAACAAAAAAAAAAAACTTATTCATTTTGAAAGGTAAGTTCTAGAGAAGAGCTATAAGACCGACAATTTTATATGGTAGTGAATGTTGAGCTGCTAAAATCCAACATATCCACAAGAGGAATGTTGCAGAGATGCAGATGCTAAGACAAATGTGCGCTCCTACAAGATTAGAGAAGATTAAAAATGACCACATTTGCCAGAAGGAGCAAGTAGCATACATTGAAGATAAAATGAGAGAAGGTCGCTTGAGATGGTTTGGTCATGTCTTGCGTCATCCTCCAGAGAGGCACCGGTCCATAGGTGTGAAATGATGGTGAGTGAAGGTGTGGAAGGAAGGCTTAATCATTTTCAATCTTTATCAGCAATAACATTAGGCATTTGGCGGTACGTGGAAGGAAGACTTAATCATTGCGTTATCACAAGAACAAAAGGAATTCAGTTCCGCAAGAGACCAAAGAGAAAAGCTGAATATTATCTCATTCAATTTTAATGATTCATTTCATGAAGGAATTCCAACTAATTTCAATCCACAGAAATAGAAATTAAACAAAACAATGCTTACCGCCCAGTTTGGAAGAAGAGCTGCTAATGTTGGTGAAAGGCCTCGATAAAGTCCCCTGAAACCTTCAGTTCTTAGTATATTTTGTAAGCTTGTGACAATGACGCTACCTGCTTGTTGCCCAAAAAATTTAAAGGAAAATAAATGTGCCAGTAATATGGATTTGGATTTTTCTTTATTCTTTACTTCCTTCATTAGTTATCACTATCAAGAAGGCCAAACAACAATTTTCTTATTCCAAGACAGAAAACATGAAAGACAATTATCAGCTCTTCAAATAAACACTTGTTTGGAACTCTTGCACATAACTTAGCTCTAGAAACCTTCATGAAAAAGTTGACAGCACCTCTCTAAAACTCACTAAATTATATTCACTGTCAAAGGCGATTTCTCATAGAGACACGATGAGCATAGTGCGCACAAAGTTCAGAATTTTGGAAGTCCATTTAAAAAATGACTACATCAAATATGGAAAGCAGAAAGCAAAGAAAAAGACAGAGAACAGCACATTGGACATCCTATGTTAGAGAAAATGGAAATGAGAGGAAGCAGCGGAAGCTGAACGAACAAAAAGACAGAAAAATCACGACAAATAGCTCTTCATCCACTAAGGTGGATCCAAGAGAGAAAATTCCTAAATCCACATTGAGAAGAAATTTAAATTGTTTTTGCTATTTAGGAGCTCACAACAGATCCTACCAGTACATATTGGTTGAATATATGTTTTTGTAGTGACATCTTTGTTTAGGATGAGCCGATGAGGGTTGTACAATCCTACTGTACATGACTCCCCTACTTTTCTGTTAACAAATACCCTAAAGAATTTTAAAAAATACATAGATAAATAAATGAGAAGGACAGGGTGCGAGATACGGATAAATTGCGGCACTATAAAGCAGTCAATCAGAATATACTTAATACTTCTATTGTGCCTGAGAAGATTGGTAAGAATTTAAACGAACAACAAATATTCTTTCATCTACATTATACTAGGACTGGAAGAACTTTGAAATTGATGTACTGTGTACAATCTGGGTAAAAGTTGCCTTTAGATTTTGACAGTTCGTGTTAAATCCAAGATAACTAGGAACACGGAACAGAACCTGAAACGGTATGTCTTTGCAAATGAGGAATGCTCAGGTCTGTCATTTAAGTTTCATTGGATCAGATAAACATTAACGATTGAGAATAAACATTAACCTGTGAATAAGAAGCATGCTCTTACCTGCTATATGTAGGATATGATTGATGTATAATAAAGGGATACGGATCATTATTACAACAACAACAACAACTAGTATGCCTCAGTCCCAAACAAGTCAGGGTTGGCTATATGAATCCTCACTGACCATATTACTCCATTTAAACTCATTGTATGCCAATATCATGCAAATACAAATAAAAAGTACCATTAAAGTTCTCTATATTTTCTACATATAAATCTCTGAAAGGCTAAACCACTCCTAGAAAGCATAGAACCCACATTACAAGTGCTATCACGTCTAAAGTATATGCTCAACTAATAGGTATCTCCTATATACTCGATCTTTTTTTTTCTTTCTTTCTATTGTGCTTATCTTTAGCTAAGTCTACATGATCCCCCGAGATTATAGGTCATTCGAGATAACTACTGATCATTAGTAAAACTATGAAATAATCCAATTAGAAAATCATGTAAATCCTAATAACATCAATTTTCATTTGTTCACACGGAAGCACTATGGCACAGGATAGCAGTTCTCATCAACAGAGACAATGTGAAAAAGAAAAATAAGAAACAGTCCACCATTTTCCAATAAAAGAGAGGATGATAAGCACAAACCTTGACGACCAGACTGAGACATCTGAGGCAGACCATGAATTATTAGTCTTGTCTTAATAACATCCAATGGACACATAAATGTAGCAGCAATAGCACCTAAAAATACCACCCAAAGAACAAAAACAAAAATATTTACGCCCCCAATTAACTCAAAATCACATTCAAATAGCTCAAAACTCAAAGATCAAAAAGTAACAAAAAAAGAATAAATCTTTATCATCTTTAACAGTAAAACCACACATAAAAGTAGCAGCAATAACACTGAAAGATTAAAAAGTAACAAAAAAAAGAATAAATCTTTATCTTCTTTAGCAGTAAAACCCCAGATGAATATAGCAGCAATAGAACCTAAAAACCACCCAAAAATACAAAAGGAAAGATTTTTGCACCCCCAATTAACTCAAAATCACATCCAAATAGCTCAAAAACTCAAAGATTATAAACTAAACAAAGAATTAAATCTTCATCTTCTTTAACAGTAAACCCCAGATAGCAGCAATAGCACCTAAAAAACCACCCAAAGATATAAAAAAATAAAACGGAAAGATTTTTACACCCCCAAGTAACTCAAGATCACATTCAAACAGCTCAAATATCAAAAAGTAACAAAAAGAATTAATCTTATCTTCGTTAGTACTAAAACCCCAGATAACAATTATTTAATAAATAAAAAAACAAAAACAAAAAATAAACATAAATGTAGCAGCAATAGCACCTAAAGATACAAAAGCAAAGATTTTTACACCCACAATTAACTCAAACTCACGTTCAAATAGCTCAAAAAAATTTAAAAAGTAACACAAAGAATAAATCTTTTATCTTCTTTACCAGTAATAAAAAAAATGGACAAAAATAAAAGAGGTCAAATTATAAACCTGCAGAGGCACCAGCACCAGCATCACAAATAATATCTCTAACACTTCTATGGTTTGCAACAGTAGCCATTCTTTAAAGATTTTTGGAGAAAAGTTTGTTTCCCAAGAATACAAATAACAATGAAATTAAAAGGGTAATTGCTTTTTTTTTTCAAGAAGTGATGAAAATAAAAGAAAAAGAAAACTTTAGCAAGAATTAGCAAAAACCCAGGTGTGTTACATCATGTAGAAATACTACCCTTTTGGGTTTTCAGATCGGTGGACTTAGAATTGGACCAGTTCACTGACGTGGTTAAGGGTTGTGATTTTAGGCTAGACTAGATATTAACTCGGTACTGGGTATGAATTCTGATTCTTTATTACCGTGTGGAAAATAGTGGCTTTTTGAATTGGTAAAATAAAATAAAAAATTGGTATGGGAAAAAATATTTTCTAAGGCAATTATATTCTGATGGTTGGTCACTTTCAATTATGGATAGATTCACTCATAAGGTAAAAATAACTATATTAGCACATCAATTTTATCTGTTTTAGCATGTTATTTAATTTAAAAATCACTAATTTCATTATAAATAATATTTTATTTATACTATTGGTGTATAGATTAACTTTTATGAATAGTTTATATTAAAACAAAATATGACTTCTCACATTGGTGTCATTTTCTTTAACTAGTATTTCAATTCAATATTTCATAGTATCACTTATGTCAGATAACGCTTAAATATTATTGTTAACTTTTGATTCAAAAGAATTACTAGAATACTATGATACAACAACAACAACTTAGCATAGGGGTCTCAGAAGGGTAGTGTACTAGTGTGTTTACAGACCTTACCCCTATTCTGGAATAGAGATGTTGTTTCCGATAGACCCTCGGCATTTCGAGCTCCAAGAACTCTCCACCTTGCTCTTGGGGTGACTCGAACTCACAACTTCTTGGTTGGAAGTGGAGGGTGCTAACTAATAGAGCACCTCACTCTTGTCTAGAACACTATGATAAAACCTTATTATTAAAAGTAGTGCGGGTTAGCCAGTTTTCGGACTTGTAATTAAAAAATAATCAGCATTTGCAAAGTCATTAAAAAATAATCACTATTTTTCTACAACACAAAAAGTTCCAACATAGTATACTGGAGGATGGTGCATGTGTGTATGAACTATTATGCTGGGACTCCAGCACACGGAAAGTTCCAGCATAATATAATGGAGATTGGAGCACCTATGTATGAACTTACGCTGGAAGTTCACATGTAAAAAATTCAAACTTCAGTATATTATGCTGGAATATTTGTCGGATTTTGAACAATGTTTTCGTTCAAATTTATCTTTATATGAAATGTGGCTAAATTTCAATTACCTTTGAACCTATTATTATTTTTCAATTACACTTGGCTATTTTTTAATTTTACCATATTATTAGCCTTGTACGATTACTAGTACTATATGTTGTCAACTTTCATAACAGACCAATTACCAAACATTGAGTAACGATTTAAGAAATAATTTACAGTGTAAAACATTTTTCATGGAAATGGAAAAATATTTCCTCAATCTTCAAAATAGTTCTTTTCTTTTTCTTTTTCTTTTTCTTTTAAAAGGACTATGTACATAATTTGTATGGATATTAGGGTTTTAAAAAAGTGTATTGTATCCCATCACAATATATAATTTTCGTCAGAATGATGCTCGGAAGAGTTTTCAAAAAGATTCATTGTGATTAGCCAACACATTGATGTGTTCTTTCTTTTGATAGAACATGTCAAAAATAGACTTTAGGNATATATATATATATATATATGACATCAAATAAAATAACAATAACAAATTCAGTATAATCCCATAAAGTGGGCTCTAGGAATACCGTATACGCAAACCTTACCCTCTACTTTGTAAAGGTATAAAGATATGTTTCCTATAGACATCGACTCAAGAAAAGATAAAAAGATAAAAAGAAAAAAAAAACAGTAACAAGTAACAACAAGAAGAAAATATGATAAATCGAAGCGAAAGAAATAACATATAGTAATAGATTTCTATCGATAAGAAAATATGAGACTAATACGAATATTATTAGCATGAAAAAAAGACACGTTATTTACTAACCTTCTACCCTAAAATATATGACCTCAAATGCGAGCTGAAAATGTTAGGAGTATTCAGCAAAATAAGTTATCACTATATTTGATTCCTTTTTATTTATTGTTTTCCTTATTTCATTCAATTATCTTTAATTAATTATATCCAGTTTCATCTATCGCCATCCAAGAAAAAGACAATTAATTTGAACTATAATTGGAAGGAATCAGTTCTTTGTTGTCTTCTCGTTTATCAGTAAGGGCAAATTCTCTCATAGCCATTTATGTTGACGTTAGGGGAATCATAACTACGTAATCTTGTTGCCTTTGGCCAAATTTTCTAGGATTTTTCTTGTATCCCATGTGATAAATTTTTTATTTGAAGCCATTTTTTATAGGGGGTAATTACGCTCCTTGTCAATTGACTCAACGGTCCATCAAAAAATGGTCTACGTTTGAAGTCCTTACCTGATATGGTCAGGTTGTACATAATCTGAAAATTATTTTTCACCAGTTAGCCTACCCTATTTAATTATTTTTTCTTTTCTTCGTTCTTCTGATCTCCTCTTTCACGACTTTGCACCCCAAAATTTCTCTACCATTATATATATTCTTCAATTCTCCTTCCAGATTCAAAGTTGATAATCACTATTAAGATGAGGAGAAAAAATACCACTTAAGAGAATTATTATTTTTGGAGTCACCATTAAAGGTCATTCGAAGCTTCAATTTCAGAAATTGGATTTTTCGATTTTGTTAGTTGTTTGAATTGGGTGTTGGCCCAATTGATTGGAATCGTCAAGGGGAGTTCAAAACTCAAATTTGAAGTGATTTGGAGCAGATTTGAGGTAAATTTGAGTTGAATTTCAGAAAATGCCCAAAGAAGAAGAAGAACCAGTGAAGCTCCATTAATAGGATTCATTTGTATAATAGTATATAATAGTGTATAATAGTATATAATAGTGTATAATATTGTATAATAGTATATAAACACCTCTTATACATTATTTTATACAAGGTTGATACATTATTNAAAAACTAATAAGATTAGCATTAAAGAAGATGAGATTTTAGATTTCTCGCGTCTGTTTGTGAATTTTCGTAGTTGTGATAGGTATGTAGAAACTTGAGGAAAAAGGAGAATGGAAATATTTCACGCTTGAAAATATAGAGAATAAAAAAACTGAATTTTTTTTCCGATCTAAACTTATTGATATTTGGTTACACATTTGCAAACTTGTAAGTGAGCTAAAATAATGCAAGGTCAACTTATGAAGTGCATTATTATATAATTTTGTCTTTTTTATATAGTCACACATGCATGTTTATATCAAATTAATAAACATAACTTGTGCCTTTTTATGCACCTTTTTTCTGCACCATGATTAAGTAATATACACTACTAGAAATTCGGCCAAAATCGACCACGATCGACCGACCGATTTCGATTGATTTTTCAAAAAAAAATTAATTTTTTTTTACGAAACCGACCAAATTCGGTCAGCTTGTTTGGCGCAAAAATACAGAAAACTATTTTTGCATCAGACGAAATTTATTTTTCAAGAAACCAACCAATTAACTTTTCACTAAAATAAATTGAAATTAAAATTCTAAAAATCGACCGAAACCAACCAAACGATTCTTTAAAGTTTATCACTATTTTAACTTAGCTATTTTTTGTTTGGAGACAAGAGGGGTTGCTCCGATGGTAAGCAACCCCCACTTCCAACCGAGAGGTTGTGAGTTCGAGTCTCCCCAAGAGCAAGGTGGGAAGTTCTTGGAGGGAAGGATGTCGCCCCTCCCTAGTCCCCACTAAGTGGGATTACACTGGGTTGTTGTTGTTGTATTTTTTGTTTGGAGTGATACAATTAGCTCGAAATCATTCATTTTTAGAACTCAACACAATTTTCTAGTGAAATTAACCCTAAGCATTTTGGACATTTGTTGTTTCACCTCTTATTCGGAGAAAAATAAGAGGTGAAATTTTAAGAACTCTTAAAATATGAGATTAACTAATATCCAATTTGGACATTCTCATGGACCTAGCCAATTTGATTTATCGATTTCCTGTAAACACCGTCATGTAACCAAATTAATATTTTTAACGGCAAAAGGCCAAATATACCCTTGTACTATGAGAAAAGATTTAAATATACTCTTTGATATATTTTGGGTCCAAATATACCTCTGCCGTAATACTATTGGTTCAAATATACCATTCTTCTGTTAAGTTTATTCAAAGTGGACATCCAATCCTACGTGACAGTAATATTTGATGAGGTAGATGCCACATGGCATGCCACCTCAGCGCCCCTAATACATATATTAAAGACTACAATTTGAAATACAATATTTTTTATGGTAGCGGTAATGATGGCAATAGTGGTGGAAGGGAAGAAAATTTTAGTGGTGGAAAAAAAATATAATGGAGGGGTAAAATGGGTTAGGGGCGCTGACGTGGCAAGTCGTGTAGCATCCACCTCATCAAATATCAGTGCCACGTAGGATTGGATGTCCATTTTGGACAAACTTAACGAAAAAAGGGGTATATTTGAACCAATAATATAACGACAGAGATATATTTGGACTCAGAGTATAACGATTAAACTTTTTTTGATAGTACAGGGGTATATTTGGACTCAAAGTATAACGATTAAACTTTTTCTGATAGTACAGAGATATATTTGGACTCAAAGTATAACGAGAGTACATTTAAACGTTTTCTGATAGTACAGAGGTATATTTGGACTCAAAGTATAACGGGGGTATATTTAAACTAGGGTGTGCATTCGATTTTTCGATTTGATTTTGACCCTTATCGATAATTACTTATCGATTATCGATTTGTACATATGTTTATCGTTATC